TAATGTTAGCAATATATTATAGGAATAAGTAGTATATTTGGTCCGGAAGTATAAGCATAAAAATCTTACTTTGAGGTACAGAGAGAGGGTAATTAAGGTAACGCTTAGAAGCGAGTGGATATTGTTGAACATACAAAAACAAAAGACTTATTCATAGATCTATCGGCAGAAAAGGAAGTATGATAAAACTGATATCAAAAATGGTTTGAGGTAGGTCGTTTTTCAGTCAGTACAGCTGAAAAATTGGTTCTAACAACCTTCATTTCATGATATCTGTAGAAGAGAGAGAATTTGTCATCTTGATTTTACACATCACATTTTACAAGAATGTAATTAAATCAGTCCTTAATCTGAAACTGTAAAAGTCAGTCATTATGAGTTTTTTTCTGTAGCTTTCATCTTGTCTTCAACAGCAATAAAATACTCCACTTAAGGTAGGACAATATATTTTTTCTCTCGACCTAAAGTGGATTGAAATGGCTACTGTTGAATCTGTCGAAGGATCCAACCACACGATTGAGATACGCGTAAACTTCAGGTTCCGAACGATTTATCTAAAAAGTGATTCTATTCTTACAATTGTTATATAAATATATATTGATGAGAAACCCCACTGAATTTTTGAGGTATCTGTGACGATCAGCGCGTCTGTTTGTCTGAAAAGTAAGGCTTCCTGAAATAATAAAATTAAGATTGATTAAAACATACGATAACGTAAGTGACAGTAGCTGTGCCTGGTGTTATAAGAGTTGATAAAATCTAACTGAAGTAAATGTCATTAGTTCATGTAAATACTTTGAGAATTTAAAAAAATTGGCGTACGTTACAACGTATCTTCGGAGGTAATCAGAAATGCAACTGGTTGCCAAACACTAACAAGTAGTTAAAAGCAACTTACAGAGCGTAAGTTGCGTGAGAAGAGATTAAAAGTAGGGAATACAAACGAAATTACCGGCTGTCAAAACATAAGTCAGCAATCACTAAGTGCTTTCAGATTTGAAAGTCAAGTTAGAAATGGCACCGACGGCACGTTGCACCGACCTATAATCACGAAAACTACTGAGCAACCACTAAAAATATGTTGTAGTTCAACATTCATATCGATCACAAGCTAAAATCAGTATAAAGTCATGACATAAAGACATGATTGACTGGTATTTAACGGCTACTTTCGTTATTTATTTCTAGTTAGTGTTCACATTGCCATACCTTCCCAGAGGACCGTTTATTCCTAGAACCAGAACCCGCATAACGCAATCTTTTATTTAATTCACAATCATTGTAATCCATGTGAAACTGGGAATAGTTTGGGAGTTTGTCTGTAAGTACATGTTTCTTTGTTCAGTTGTCAAATCAGTTTTTGACGGAATTCGTGAAGAATTGTTATTTTGTACATTGTTCATGAAATGTTGTGAATTTGAAATAATATATCGAAATCGTACTAATCCCAATAAGTTTTGAACTTCGACATACTCAATCAAGAGCTAAAATTTGAAGTACGCAGTATAAAATTATATTATATGACTATGATCAGTTTAAACACAACATAGAATATTTAACTTTACATCAAATGTATTGGCTACTCACCACAAAAGTACATTGTGCAATCAAGATGAACCGATACTACTATCTCATAGTTTACAGCTTTCAACACTTCACCAAATAACATCATTCTATGACGAAACTTTCCTTAAAAACCCAGTTGAATCTAAACAGATTATACAACCATCAACATTATTGATCTATCCCCATGAAAATATTCATCACTTGAAAATCTTATATTATGACTACTCTTGAAAAACGAAATCTTGTTTAAACCTGACAGCAAAACGTAATTCACCTTTCCCATATGAGATACTGTAGGGGATGACATGTTCAGAATCTGTTGGTTCACATGATACTCATCGCTACTGAAGTCATTAAGAAGAAACTGTGTTTCCGACTCATTATTTCTTATTGAACATTCTAAATTTAACATAAATATGTCGCTGGATTTCCTATTTTTTGTAGTCACATATAAAGTTAGTAACTATACTTATACTTATTATTTTGTTGTGATGATCGTATTTTACAGAAACCAAGATAATCATATGAAATGGATATCAATACTGATACGCTCAGCTCTTCTTATTATTAAAAGTATTATGTACAAAGATCACTTTTACCATAAAGCGACATCAGTCAGTGAATTAATGAAAATAATTAATCTGTGACAATTTTAATCTCCTTAATGGTCCACGTACACACATGTCAACATAAAGTGTTTAAAACATTAATACTCGAAACTTAGGGTGAACGCTAAAAGAATTGAATTTATAAATGAAAAACCTACATGCTTTATTGTACAATAACATTTGACTACTCATGTATCACAATCATCCTCTAACATAAATTTGCAATCATCGAATCAAATACTTGCTTGAGTATTAAAGACTTAATTTAACCAATATAAAGTTCACATCATTACATTGATGATTCAGAGGTAAAGAGACTATCAAGCAAGTACTTGTGTTTGAAGACGTTAAGTGACTAAATTCAATCAATATTCAGTCGAGAATATATCACAATATATCTACAAATTAAACCATAAACACTACTTCACTGTTTAGTTATAATGTTTCCAAAAACCTACTTAAGTATATATATTTTTCATTAATACAAAGATCTGAGACCACCACATGGTTATCTGTAAATATGACATTTCCGATATAGAGTGCGACTATCTTTAGTAATCTATGTCTATTGCCTGCATACTATAAGATATCGATGAATCAAGACAATATGTTGAAAAAGCTCTTGACTATTCCATTGAATAACTAAGCAACTATGAATCCTTCTAATAATAAGCAATTCAGCCCAGAGTATTTTACATTCTACACGTGATGCCCTTCTATGAGCAGTCAAACAAAAACAGCCGGCGATCTAGCGAAAGCAACTTTCTTCGTAAGCAAGTTGGTCTATGTAATCTAAGCTTTATTATACATATATTTTACTCAATAATTTATCCTGATTACTAAAAAAAGACTTGTATTCATCTTGCATTGTTTGTTTGAATCTTTTTATTGATTTTTGGGACTGCAATTGATCAGTCTCTTATCGGCATATGTGCATCCTGTGCGGATTGTCTCGATATTGCCTTAAGTCATAAGCATTATAAACAAAGATGGATAGGGTGAGACTATAATTTATGAACGACCTTTGATCGATGCTAAGGTGACCTTGAGAGTGTCTACCTAATAACTAGAAGTAAATGAGGGTTATAAACCAGTATGAAGAATTAGAATTATGATTTACAGTTGATGGTTACGATTAGGAATTAGATTTAGGGTTTTCATCACGAACTGACATCAGCTTTAATGCCAAAACTCTATTTAATCAAATGGATGAGTGAATTTTGCTCCAAAATTAGAGACCTTTTATTTTATATCTGATTGGTTCGTCCATAAATTAGTCACACCATGGATAGTGGTTAACAGTAAAATCTAGAACGCCCGTTTCGTTCTGTTTGGGACTCGTTATCTGAATCTACCCGCATCTCAGAGTTGAGGTTCACATATGGCATTAAGAGGCTGATCAACAGCAAACAAACAACATGCAGTAAATTTAAACTTCACCCTATTGCACAAGCAAGTGGACATCAGGACTCAGTAGCTAAGTGGATAACGCGGTGGCGTTTGAAGCGAACAGTACTGGGTTAGAGTCCCTGAGATACAGGTACATTCTATTCTACGAGTCTCAAATAGGACGAAACACACCTCCTGGATTCCACTGTTTGCCACCATCCATCTTTTCTTACATAGAAACTTATAACTATAAATATACAATACACTTGCAAATATTTCAACAATTGAAACAAACTATTCTCAACCGACAGCCTGGTCTGTTATTTCATGAGAGTGGTTTTTTTATATTGATAATTGTTGAAGATGTTTTCATGGCTTTTAACTTTTTGCTTAAATGAGCCTTTCAAATTTCAAAACACAAATAAATCATTTTGTATATCCATTGATTTCATTATACACAACGAAGTCATGGAAGCGGTCATCCAACTGTTCCGTACATTTTTTTACTGATATATAATATCAAGACGAAGAATTCAGATTGCCAGAAATTAAAGTTATTTCGCAATGATTTTTAGATGTAAGCTAGTATGTAAATTCGTGAATTACAAAGACTTAATTGTTATGACTTGTGCTTGCAGATTAGAGCGAAGCGTATTATTGATCGGACCAAAGACGCGTGAAACACATGAGAACGACCTAGAATCCTAATTGGCCCTGTTTCCCTGTCTAGCCCAGCCAGTTGAGTCCGAAACACAAGTCTCAGCCTCTGAGATATGAATCGTTACATTTCAAGCATACTCTGCTTATATACCAATCAAACAGACCACATCGTACCATAAAATAGAAAATAACATCTGTAAATTACTTGGCGACCAGGAAAATGACACGTGAAATAAATATTGACCAATAGGAAAATGATACCATCTCAAGTCCAAGAATAGCACTAGACTTAATAGAATCATTTTTGGGATATTTTCCTGAATATCCCAACATTAATAATTAGACTAAATCTGATATTCCACATAGAAAATCAAACTGATTGAAGTAAACATCATTGTATATTTTATTGAACCATAGAGTTAAGTAAAATAATTAGTTACTATTTATAGAATTAGGAAAAAAATAAACTTGTTAGGTTTCAACACCCAAATAGAACCGATATTCATCGGATCTGTAGAAATTTATCTTTAATATTATTATAATGATTAATGAGTATTTATAGTTGGGTCACGCCACATAGTATTATTATCAATGACCTTATTCATACAGACTAAATAGTAATCATATTCATTACTTCGATCGATTTTATTGTTATGAACCAATCAGATTTCTTTTCTTTCACCTAATTCAAATAATAACTGTTTTCTGATTGGTCATTTTTTACAGTTAGTTTTAGTTACGCCTATTTTATAAGACACAAACAAAAAAAAACAGTTACGAACATTGAATTAAAATCATATCATCTTGAAGAGATCTGTTGTAATCAATAATATACATCAATTAGAATTAAAGATGGGGACATTTGGTGGACATGCATTACCTGGAAGTTTTTTTATTCTTTATGGTTTATGGTCTATTTGGCATATATTAGAGAAATTTTATCGACGAAAAAGTTATGAATTAAATAAATCGAATGAACCAACTTCTGAATATACATGTAGAATATCTTATCCAATTGAAAGAAAACAACATACTGAAAATGATAGAAAGAAGTGTTTTTCTTGTTGTAAAAAATCATTTCCATTGGATTCATTAGCTAAATTAGTGCTTTGTATTATTGGAATAATAGGAGAAGTGATTACAGGATTTAGTAATGATTGGATATTTGTACATATTGGTAATGCGCAACATTCTACAATGTTCTCATTATTTGGATTAAGTGGAGCTATTGAATTGTGTATATTTTATGGGATTTTTAAAATTCCACTGTACGTAAATATTTACTACTTATTTATATTAAGTTTACATATAAATTTGAATGCTATTTATCTATTAAATGATGCGAGAGAATTTCTTAATTTAAAAATAACGTTTAATCAAACAATTGTTCCTAATAATTTTGTCATCATGCTTTACCGTTAGTAAATCCATACCCAGTGTGTTACAATGAAACCCAATAGTTTACATCCCTGACTTCAATCAGTTAGAGGTATTACATGACCATTATTTATAACCTGTCTCACGATCCTAATTAGTCGAATCTCAATGACCACAGTTTCTTATTACAACTCTAGGAATATCCCTTCAAATATCATTCATGTGTTGTTGGAGATTTATAGAAAGTTTTCATTGCACAGTCGCGTACAGGACGAACGGATATTTCCTTTTCGGGTATTTTCGAAGCGAAATTGAACAGTAGTAACCTTGACTATCTGGAAACGTAAACGTGGAGCTCAGAAAACGGATATTTGAAGTCGGTTACCCACGGACTCTTCTGAAACTCCACTCACATTGTGAGTGGGTAGAAACCCTGGAGATACTGATTATCTGAGAAACCTAAACGATAGAATGTTTCAGCTAATATATCCCATTCAAGTAATCATGATAGACTAGCCAGACCACCACATTAAGGTATTAACTACTATTAGACCTCTTAAATTTGGTTGCTAATGAGCATATGATTATCATTATTGTTATTATCAGTAATTAGTACGCGGCTTTGTAGAACATGTCGAGATATTATCTAGGCAAAGTCAGTGCATTATGTAAACTACAAAAGTTGGATAATCTGCACAAATAATCTATAGAAATGTAAACGGATCCTTTGTAATATAAATCAAAATTTTAGTAAATTAAAATATATTTTTTCATCGAAAAGAGAATAATAGAAACTCAAAGAACACTGTGTGATAACTACGTCATCCTTATTTTCACTCTCATGACCGCGTGTAAAGTGACGATCATGATATTTTTAGGTCTCTTGGGAAGTATAATAATACCAATTGATCGGTTATTTATTATTTAAAAATTTACATTTTTGACGTGATCTTCATTTTATTTCATACTCCGAGAATCATTGTACTATCAAAGACTTTATTTATTTCACAAGTTTATGATTCATTTGTCCATAAAACTACAAATAGATCACTATCGAAGACGATCATCAGTAGGCAGGATTATCACTTAATCCGATGCCTTTTCATGGTTTGTACGTTTTTGAGATCATTTTCATCACAGGTATGTGTATCGTAATAACTCGTAATTTTCAAAGGTTATCATATTAATGTCAGTTCGTAATATAAATCGTGTTTAAGTTAACTAATATATTGACAAATCGCTTTGGTTAACATATACTTGGATTAGAGATACTCTTTTTTTTACGGAAATATATTCTGCCAGTCTCTTTCATATGATTATGAACCAACATTCCTCATAATAGTTTTTTTTCGCAGTACATTTATTGATTTGAAATTTATCAGTACTGATATTTTTCAATAATTGCTAATGTTCACTCGAATTTAACAAATGTTAATGGTGTACTGAGTATCGATTAATTCTGAGATAGGGTCTTTTGAAGTTCTAGTGAAAATTCGTGATATTAATTGGAGGTAGTCGACAGGAAACTGTGGACCTAAGTTTCATGTTAGACAGGAGTCATCAGCAAGAAATAAGGAAACTCGTAAGAAAATTAATATTTTCTGTTGAATTTAAACTTGGGTCACTAGGCTCCCCAGTCTTAAATGACTGAGAAGATGAACTCAAGTTATCTAACATAACATAAAGCAGTAACTGTTGAGTCACTTGAACTAGTGATCATGTTACAACTTGGTCGATAGAATTTGACGAGCACTAAAGGATCACACAAACATGATTTTGGTCACTACATGATGATCATTGGTTGTTAATCGTATTTCATCGTTTCAAACAAGTTGGAAGTGAAGCAAATACTCATTGATGATATTGGACTACAAAAATTGAATAAATTCTCAAATGTAAACTTACTAGACAATCACTGAATAACTTACGTAAAAATTTAAACATCATTGGTTCGATCTCTCATGGACGTAGTGGATTCAAATCGTTTAAAAACCTCAAACTTCCTGAATTTCAATGATTATAAAGGTTGATTCCAACTCGTAATAAAAATCACTTAAGAAGTGTACTCATATTGTGATGCGTGCTACTTATATTGATGTAAGTAGTATATGACGCGAGTCAAGAACGTAATGTCTGGCAGCAGAAGACGGGGGAAGATCAAGGAAGGAAGAGCGAGAACACAATGCAATTTATAAGAAAACACATGAAAAATGAAATGTGAGACAATGGATCGATGATTGCAACAGCAACAGTCCGGTTTGATATGAAGGAATAATATTTTGCATATTGACGATTTGCTATATTGTTTTTCTATTTTACCAAGTAACTCTGTAAATTCGTGCCAAATACATTCAGTTGTCTCCACCCGTGTTCTGTTCGCTACAATTCATTTATCTGTTATAATATGTTTCTTCTAAAAATGGATATCAATAATACGGAAAGCAACTACATTAATGTAGATAATCATACTTCTTTTTGATAATCATCAAGCTGATTTCAATAAAATAATGTTTCTTAATTGAATCAGGAATAATTAAATTCTTTATATAATGATTTCTTATTCATTTAACTGACCTTATTACTCAATTACAATGAAAGTAATGATATAGAATCACGAGTACTTTAGACAGATAAATATCTGAACATTTTATTAATCGATTTTATTACCAAATAAATATATAGTTATTTTTACTGTGTAATCCATACAAACAACCTGATTAATCTATCGTTTCGTTTTAAGGATTATGGAGATAAGTTTTATTTTTATAGTCGATTGATCACTGAGTGGTGATCGATCGTTATGGACTTATCTCATTTCAGATACAATTGAAGATCTGGGAGCGCTGGATAGCTGTTCTATTTAAAAAAAAAACAGGACTTCTCATTACTAGTTACACATAACCCAATCAGAGGTCATGGTGAACCATTAGAGCCACTGGATTGCTATTCAATCTTAAAATTGAAAGACCAACCTTTAAGCGTTTGCCGCTAAACTTGAAGGTCCTAGGTTCTATCCTAGTCAGGGTCGTTTCTAAGTCCTAAGCTACTACAAAACAGCTATCCAGTGCCCCAGGATTTCTACTGTTACTCAAAACAAGATCAATCTGTAACAAAAACAACCTAAAATTTTAAACAATCTCCACAAAATAATGATAGAATATGATAATGTTGGTACTGCACACTGAAAAGCCAGTGTAAAATAGTGTTTGTGAACTTGTTTTCTTTCTAACACTAATATCATTTTTACCGCTTTCCCCCCTTTGTTTTTTTTACGTTTCAGTCAATCAGAATATCTTTTTCATGGAATAGCACTATGGGGAGAATTATTTCTATTCCTATTTCATTTACACCATAGAAATCCACTAGATGTTTACCTACATCTATTATTAACTGGTATGATTATATTAGGGATTCTAGTATCAGTTGTTGAATTATTAAATCCACACGAACCTATTTATGGTTTAATACGTAGTTGGACTTATCTTATGCAAGGCACATGGTTTTGGCAAGTGAGTTCCATCAATATCTTCTGGCGTTATTTTATTTTTTCACGTTATTACGCCTTTCTACGTCTTAGCTGCTAAAATTTTGTTCGTTAAAGTTTATATTATCTGATTGTTGGCGTTAAGAGCTAAAATTGATCAGTCTCGTCTGACATATGTTCGTTCTGATTAAAGTACCTGGATTCTGCCATTTAGTCTCAAGTTATAGTCGAGTTGGATTGTAGTTAACAGTGGGATATATGACGCACATTTCGTTACACTTGGACCCCAATAGCTGTATGTACCTGTCACATTCCAATGTTGACGTACACGATGAGTTCCTCACCCAGTATCTTTAGTTTCGAATTACAACACACCATCCATTGAGCTATTGAGTCTAGATAGCCTTTAATTTGTTCAAAACATATAAGTTTTATTGATAAAGATCCTAGATAGCTTTCATACTCACGATGTTTAAGAAAACAATTTGCGAGTGAAAAAGTTTAGCAGTTTTTTAATTGGGGATGATAATACAACATAGAAATGACCGGTTGTGAATCAATCAGAAGATAGCTTTTCTAAATGATTAATTTGTGGAAAATAAACAATAATATTACGATAGCCAAGAAAATTTTACTGAAGTAGTGAAGCTTTGGAAGCCTTTCTCCTACAGTCTGTTCTATCTGTGAATCGAGAAAATCGTCACATATAAATCCGTTCATAATGATTTAAATTATCCCTCTTTGCCAACAGATTTTTAGCAGTTCTCACAATGATCCTGGTTAGTCTTAAAGATTTAGGGTTGGATAAATATGGTGAGGGTTTAGTTTGGGAATCACGGGTTTATGGTTGTGCTTTGAGTCAGAATAAAGGGTTTAAGATGAGAATTTAGTGACAGGGTTGATTGGCATGTTATATACAGTCTACATGGGATTAAGTGAACATTTAATGCGTTTAGTACTATCCTTTTCACTCTATTATATAAAAAAACAGTACTTCCTTAAAACTTACACATATTAAACACTGAACAATAATAGTTCTACTTCTCGCTTCATAAGATATAAGATAAAGGTTGTTTGTTTTTTAATTCAGCTCTATAAATTCAGACGTTTTCTGGATTCTGAATGGCTCATCCACATGCTAAACTTTTAGCTTGTTAGTTTTCATATAACTTACTAAACAATTAACGGTGAGACTATAATTTATGGACGACCTTTGATCGATGCTAAAGTAATTTTTGGAATGTGCACCTACTTACTAGGTCTATATGATGGTTATAAAGTAGTATGAAGAGTAAGGATTATAATTTACAGTTGATGGTTAGGGTTAGGAATTAGATTTAGGGTTTTCATCACGAACTGACATCAGCTATAATGCCAAAACTCTATTTAATCAAATGGATGAGTGAATTTCGCTCCAAAATTCGAGACCTTTTATTTTATACTTGATTGGTTCGTTCATAAATTATAGTCTCGCCTAATTAACTTATCAGTGTTACATCATGGAAAATCCTATCTAACATCATTTCTGAGACTTTTCAATCTATGGAATTGTGAACATTTATTAAAGCATTGTAAGATACAACTGATAAGTCACCACAAGTTTATTCTTTGACCTTTGTGATCTTTATAGTCACTTGTTCCATTCATTCTGTGATTCCTAGTAGAGAATAATGTATATGAATTGCAACTAGGGCATGAATGCAATTATTCATCTCCACTGTTATTCTCAACAGGATTCAGTTGTCAATCTTTGATTTGAAAGATCAGCTTATTTCTTATCCGGTTATTGAATTAAAGTGTTAGAGTAGTAGACAGTAACAAAATCTAAACGTGAATACTATCCACCAATGACTCACTATTACCCTGAATATAAGTTTTTATTTAATATAATAACTGTTGAAAAATCCCTCACTATTAATGAATTACAGTTAAATATCCATAATCATCTCAATTAGTTCTACACCACAAAAGACCTAGTTTACTACAAATTGTAATTTCTCATTGATGATATGTTTTGGTCTCCTATTTGATGTATATAATTATGTCACTTTTTACATTTCAATAATAAAAAGTACATGGGACAATTTTTCTCATATTGTAATTAAGATTTTGAGACAATAATTTTACAACTGTTCATTAACGTTAGCTTGTACCGTAATAATGAGTAGTAATGAGTATGTAATATGGTCTACACACTGATGCTTAACCTGTGTTCTTCTATGAATCCTCGTTGGAACTATTTGCCTAATTTCAAAACCAACTTAACAAACAACTCATTCATAATACTAATTTAGAACTTAACTTGATGTATTAAGTTCATGTTTCGTTTCAAGATTCGCATGTTCATTGTATAAAATATAATTCTGTATAATCGAATAAATTTCTCATTCAAATGAATAAACCGTTATTTAATTAACAATTATTTTTGTTAATGATAAATAATGTTACCTTGGTGACTTTGATTAAGCAATATTGATTAATTGATTAGTACAGCACACTGTTGTGATGCAAATCTACGGTAGCATTTTATTTCAGAACATAATTATAAACTTTCAGTTTCGCGCGTATATTTGTGTTGTTAATTTGACAGAACAGAATTAATATCTCTTTGTAGTTTACATTAGATAATGATTTTATTTGGGTAATCAGCGGAAACCAAGAAGCGGTTGAGAGCTTTCCCCTCCTAGTATGAGATTATTTGGCAATGCAGTCAACTATCCCTTCATTACTGATATCCACCTCCCAACTCGATATAATTAAGCTTTACTGGCTACGATCCTTGATTAGATGACTGATGAAGTCGTGGGTGAGCACTGATAAAACTTCCCATACTAGAATGAAATTGCTGCCCAGTGATTCTTAGTTCCCAATAGTTATCGAACTAAAATCCGTCCTTCATGTAAGCTAAAAACTGGAAGATTTTCTTGAATCGTCTATGTCTATAATATTCAGTTTCCGTTTTCGTGAACGCTAATCATACTAACTTCTCGATGATTTTTGTTTTTACACTCTCAATATTTGGACTAGCAAACCTTACTATATTTAGCTCATTAGCTGATTAAACATAAAACGCTTTGGATAACAGGTATTTCAGAAAAGCATAAACACTTTGATGATTATTTCTGAATAAGATAAAGTGCGCTTTCTGGATTTCAGTAAATTCTGTTGCAATATGGTGTTTAGGTTATCACATTCTTAAAAGCCAATTATATCGAATAGATGGCTCCTTACATACACCATACTTCTTTTATTCTTAGTATGATTATAGATTGTCTTTATCTTACAGTTATTGTGCCTCAATTTAGGCAATCGATTTTAGTACAAAAGCATAAGTTTGTTTATTTATGACATTGTATACCAGGAACTGGTAAACTTGATACGTAACGGTTTTAGATTCCTTTGCTTACTGACGATTTTCGAAAAGTTTAAACCTCTAACATGTCCACTGTCGAGCAACTGACGATCAATTGCGTTATTGGAAAGCATCTGCCCGTTAAGTCCCAGCTTTTGTGGAATATGTTCGGACATCCGGAAACAAACCTCCCCTTATGTTCTTCCAATAGATGTGATTCCTACATGTAAGCTGATAAACAATTGGAGGTAATATAAGTTGGATAATTGTCCACATTTGATTGTCTCAGTGACCATTTGGTTTGGTCTGAATCACCGAAAATATTCCACAAAAGCTGGGATCTAACGGACAGATGCTTTTCAATAACGCTATTGATCGTCAGTTGCTTGACAGTGAGCATGATGTTAAAGTTTCAAAAATTTTAAAGATCATCAGTAAGCAAAGGAATTAAAAACTGTTACGCTTTATTGAAGCTGTTACAATAAAAAGATTCAAACCGAATTTATGTATTCAAAAAGAGACATTTAGCTATCTTATTTTCCCCTAGTGACATTTTCTGTGAGATTATTACGTAGGGGGTTTTCCTATAGAATTCCTAGTATCTCTATTCATACTTCTGAGCTTTATTCAACTAGCCTATATTACATAATCTATTTTCTGTTTTTATTGAAGTTTCTAAATCGGAAGAAACTGTTTTTAGATTTTTTAAGAAACTGACTAAGTGGTTAAGTATTTTAATTTATATACCATTCCACATGTTTCAAAATGTGTGGTGACTAGTATATTCTTAGGTTACAAAAAGCGAAAATAACTATATTTAACCCAAGCATCAATCATTAAAGTCACTAACGAATGGTCTGTATTATACAGGCATCATTACTGATATTTAATATGCTAGGAATCAACGAATTAAAGCTTTCAGTGTTCACAATTCAAAGTTAATCAGCAGTTCACATACAACAGAATAGATCACAGTGATTTAATATCCCTTGAAAACTACTGATAATTCGGATAGAAATGATGGATAAGTTATGACGGGATAAGGGATATATTTTGTTTGGCAAACTGAATATATCGGGCAATTAGTTTAAGAATTCACAATGATTGATATGATTGAGATCATTTTTGCAAATGCTGCGTTATTTGTCCACGTCGACAGAATAAAGGTTCAAGGAAGTTTTTCATTCATTGTGTTTATTTCTCTGGAGAATTGCATTATGTCTGAGTTATAGCTAAATTATAAGTCTTCCATTTTTAATTAAATAAAAGGAATTATAATCAGTAAACAAATTAACTTTATAAAATGTTTTGATCTAGTTTGCATGTGTTGTAGATCCAACATTTTACTGAATCATTATTCAACGTGTATACGTTTGTTTGCCAATCGGTTCATTATCAGACAGTCCTTCAAAATCTTGAAATTTCCCCATGTAATTTTTTTTAGTACAATTGAATAGTGTGTTGTAGTGGAATTCAAAATGTGTTTCATTTCATATCAAAACAATCAGGGTAGGATACACATATATCAAAAGAGACTGATCAATTTGTGCTAGTAACATAAATAATAAATAAATACAACATTTTACAATCAAAATGTTTTTAAGCAAATCAATCACTCAAATTTGTACATGAATGAGGACATTTCTATCGAGGTTAGAAGAATAACGTAAGCTATATCCATTATTTAGTTTATGTAGATGTCTTACAATGAAATTTTAACTGTGCATAGCTATTTTTTTATTCATTCTAATTTGAACTCTATACTCACTAATCTTTTAAAGATTTTATCTTTAAAGAGAACAATAAAAGATGTAGAATAAATGAACATGGTTGCTAGTCAATAATGTGTTTATGTAGTGCGTGTGTATATGTGTACATGAGAAATAAACTACTCAAATATTATTGATTGATTAGTATTTATTGAAATATAAATGTTCAGACAACAAATTTAACTCATTTGGGGTTAGGAGTAAAACAGAAGTCGTTAACCGTTGTATTACAATGATTATTGAATACAGTCGGTGAATTGTTAAGAGCTTGCCAAGAGACATAAATGTCCTGGGTTGTAAACGTGTACCTCTAAAGAGTCCCATACTAGGAAAAAATAAATATCTAGTCCTCTTACGTTTTCAGTGGAACCGTAATTAAGACCAATCTACCACGAGTCGTACTTTAATTCGATTTTGGAATTAATGGTAATTGGATTTATCAAAATTTCATTACTTATGTTACAAAATTTTAGTAAAGGCGGAAAATATTCTAAGTGAATTTTACTTTGATTGACTAATGGTTTTACGAAACATTGAAAAAAACTTCCTAATTAAATTAGGGGGAATAGGTGGAGAAATTTCATCTTTAAGGATGAAAGTTTCTATGAAGACTGTTCAGTCTGAAAACAATTGGGATTATGAACTGGCTTTAGGCTGACAGCCACTGGTAGTTAGAAATATAGAAAAACGATTTTTCGGACTACTTTGGTACTCCTCACGAGTGCATACCAATGGTCTGCCTCCCTTTCCCATGAATATAACCCAAACCTTTCAGTACTCAGCTAAATATCGTTTTCTAAACATAATGTTTATAACACTTTCCAAATTTCTCACTAGATAACTAATTTACAGAAAGTGGAAAGATATATATAAATTCTGTAAATCATTGTTGTTATTTTGTTATCACTGTAGGTTGGAGCTATTCTATATCCTAAAACATCATGGATGCCAGAATGGGATCAGCAAGCTAAACAAAGTATACCGGCAGCTGCAAATTTATTCGCCTATCATATGTTGGGGAATTCCGTTGCAATCATTCTAATCTCTATACCAGTTATGATTCGTACAAAAGCTAGTTTGATGAGTGATGAAACAATGAGAACACGTTTATCAAGAAGAGAATATCGTCAACAAGCCCAGGAACATCAACAAAGTTCACAATCACTGGAACAACAAAATTTCACGATTGACAACAATTCAGAAGAAATAGAATTATGGAATTATAATCATAGTACTACAGAGATTAACGAAGTTAAGCAAAGTGACAGAACCTGTGTTTAATGAATAAACCATAAGGCATTTGTCATTACATCATTAAGCCATTATGTTGATGCCAAGTAGATTGAACTGGTAATATGTTGAAGCAATATGAAATGTAATCAAGTTTCATAATATAAAATTACTCCTTCATCTTTCTTTTTTTAATTTTGTAGCCTCATTTTCATTTCTTGTTTTGATCGTCTAACCTTAATTAAAACGTATGACTGACCCTCCTCGCTATTTGTCTCTATCTTACATATGGGTAAACCATTTTATTAAGAGGCTGTATGAGCCTATGCACTGTATCAAACATGTGGTGAAAAAAACCCGGCAATCTTTTTAGTTGGAATAATAACTTGAATTATTCATTGGAAAACTATGATTTACTTGCTCAGTTATCATCGTAGACGACACTATATAGCTTGAAAGATGAATGCAACTGAACATGATTTAAATAGTATTATTTTTGTCTGTTGTAATGCGTAAAATGGAACCTGGATTAGCGTCTGTTGTTTGAGACATTTTGAAATTTTATTTATGAATAGTGAGTTCAGAAGAATAAATCAACTCCATAAACGGAATATTCTACTGACAAAATATTGTCAGATATGAAATGTATTCATTGTCAGCGATGAACAGTATTCAATAAATGGATTATTTTTGACGAATTTCTAAGTTGTTGTCAACCTGAAGGTGTATTGATCATGTATGAATATCACAATCAGTTACCCAAATATCAAAATAAATTGGAAAACTCAATAGGCTGAACTGGGATACAAAAACTTTTGAAGTCTTCATAACGACGCGAAAATTAGAAACTTGAGCGCTGAAAACTTGTGATCATATTCTGAATAACTTAAATTGAAAATGCTTATATGCTTATTGTTAAGAAATAAACAGTGTATTTTCTCAAATGACTTGAACCTTATATTTTGTTTTCTTTTAGTTGGTCTTGACAAACCAATAGTGAAGAAACATATTCACTTTATTGTCAAATCCAATATAAATGGAATGAATTAATCATTTGCTTTCGGTATAAAGGTTAGAGTTGACAGACTGAAACATTCTCAATACCTAGTATGTATTTCATTTGATTCTTTAAATATGATTGTACTGTAGTGACATACTTTTATCAAGATAACGCGATTGGTGCAATGGAAACAATTATTATTATAACCAATTGTACCAGGTATTGTTTTACCGTACTTGTTTGTTCAACTGTACCAAAATACATACATTCTCCCGTGGATTGTGACCTTGAAGGAATTCCCGGTTACGTTCAGTAACCACACTTGTACTTCTTTGGCACGATCTCGATATTCTTTCGATACCACGAGATCGCTAACGAATATATCTCGACTACAGCCATCAACTGCCTTCTGACATTTGGCTTGCGGGGGACCTTATCGGTTAACTGGCACGTAGTCTTCCTGTAGTGGTGATCATAGTCAACTATATTAGTAATCTGATGAGGTTTTACAAAAAAGTGTAGGATTTTCGTTTATAAATTCAATGTTTTAGCGTTCACCTTCAGGCTGGAGTGTAACATTTAAATACTTCATGTTAACATGCATGAGTATGTGGATCATTAAGGAGATTAAAATTATCGTACATTAACATGATAATTAGAAGCATTCGAACTAATGCGCTGAAAATTCCCGAATTAGTGCAGTTTGAGAAAGGTAGAAGTAGATGAGCACAAATGAAAGTATTATATTTGAAATTCGTGATCAGAGTGAAATCAAGTTCAAAGGAATCACCAGTTGGTACAGATACCACAACCACCTTAGCTTAAATGGGAATTCGATTTCCATGAATCTACTGTATGCTTCTCAGGTCCATCATATGTTTGTCCGACTGTACATATAATATAGCGAAATAGAACTAATCCCAATAAGTCTAGAACACCAACAAGACACAATAGAAAAATTCAAATTCGAAGTAAGCAGTATGAGATTGTATTGTATTGTAATTATAGGTTTGAATGAAAAATAAAATATTGAGCTATACAGTAAATGTATTAGTTATTCACCATAACTGCCACATGTTGGTTGTGTCTATGTGCCTATAATGTGATCTGGATTTGTTTGCGAATATGTTAAATCTCAGTTGTTCAGCATTCTGATCCCCATTTTCTTCATCTGTCTGAAATTCGTTATATAAACATAAATATAAATATATATATGCTTTGAACTGATTGAGCATTTAAATCATGAATCTTTGCCATCTGACTACCTATTCTTTGAATTATAATTCTCATTAGATGGTTGGTAACTCCGTCTGGAGTCCCCATGGAGGCTACTGCCGGTCCCAAGCCGATATAAAGGAGGAGGGTCGGGTATGGGGTTAGCTACCCTATTGTGTAGAAAACTAACTCGTTAAAAAAACGTTACCCAGAAAAAATTATTCAAACCACTTAAACTCTGCTCTAAGAGTCAGAAGGTCTTCATTAATAAGGGTTATGACGCCTCATGATGAAAGTCGAGTTCCTTCGGGAGTCACAAGGTCGATTCCCCTTCTGACAACCACAGCAACCATTTATTTAGGTACACGGAACGCTCGCACAATGTGGGAGACTGGGAGAGTCTTCCAAATTGCTGCAGAAATGAGGAGAAATAACCTGGAGGCGCTTGGGATCAGTGAAACACATTGGACGAAAGTTGGACAACAACGACTAGCTTCAGGGAAGCTTCTGTTATACTCTGGCCATGAAGAAAAAAAATCCCCCACATACACAAGGAGTTGCATTGATGCTGTCCAAATAAGCACAAAATGCACATATAGGATGGGGATCCCATGGACCAAGAATCATCAAAGCCTCCTTCAAAATAAAGAAAGAGGGCATCACAATAAACGTCATCCAATGCTATGCGCCTACCAACGACTACAATGAAGACGTTGAAGATCAATTCTACAATAGGCTGCAGTCAATCGTCGAGAAGTGCCCAACAAAGGACCTAACCATTCTGATAGGAGATTTAAATTCCAAGGTTGGAACGGACAACACTGGATATGAAGAAATCACGGGACGACACGGACTGGGAGAAAGGAACGAAAATGGTGAGAAATTTGCAAATCTATGTGCCTTCAATAAACTGGTCATAGGCGGCACTGTATTCCCACATGGACTTCACCGAATTACACTACACAGAACCCAGTCGACCGTATCTGCATCAACAAAAAGTTCAGGACGGCGACGGGGGATGTGAGAACCAATAGAGGAGCTGATACAGTATCAGATCATCATCTGCTAGTCGCCAAGATGAAATTGAAACTCAAGATGTACTGGACAAGGGGGGGACAACATCACGAAAGTTTATTACGACTTGTCTTCGGGATACTGACAAACTCAACAAATTCAAGACAGTCCTCAGCAATAAGTTCCAGGCCTTTCATGATCTACCCAATGGAGAAGTAACTACTGTGGAGATCAACTGGAAGAGGATCAAAGAGGCAATCACTTCAACATGTCACGAGGTTCTGGGTCACAAGAAGCACCACCACAAGGAATGGATCACTGTTGATGCACTGGATAAGATTCAAGAAAGAAGGAACAAGAAGGCAACATGCAATAGAAAATCAGGTAACAAAAGACAAGTCTCTAATCAAAATCAAGTTATAAAAGTTCAGACGAGGAAGACTGAAGAACAAAAGGTGTGCTTAAACGAGATCTGAACAAAGGTTAAAACACGACAGGGAGAAGAAACAAATAAATGACAGTACTGTCCAACAAAAATGCTGCGGAGGGGTTTTCATCGTTCTCTTTCCGTTACAAATTGGACAGAACTAGAAAGAAAAGACCAGGACAGAGTGAGTTGGAGAATGTTGGCTGGCGGCCTATGCTGCATTGGGAGTAACAGGTGTAAGTAAGTGAGATGCTTAGTAGTCATTTCATCATCAAAACTGCACTTTCGATGATATTTTGTTTACTAAGTGAATTCAAAGTATGGGAGTTTTAAAGAGTTCAGCTGAACTACCATGAGTTTGTAACAGCTTAGGTTGGTTGGTTAAGAGTTGACCCCAAACAACCAAGCATATGCCAAAACAGCATTGTTCAAGTATTCATTCACTTCCTTGTTTTGTATAAGCGTTATATTCCCTATTATCTTATATTGAATGTTGAGAGCCTTTGTTTGTCTGAACAGATAATCCCGCGCTCCACTGTGACCGCGCTAAGATCGAAATAAAGACCTATTCACTACTTGTCCGGTTTCTTCTATCAATAGCACGAGGGTTACTTTAAGGCACGAAATTGGTGAGCCCTTTTTGAACACAAATTTAACCTCATTTCTGTTATTAACATTTTTTTTTACTTAATCGTAAAAGTAGACCTGATTATCCGTAAACTAATTTGAGTATATAACTAGTTTATTCCGTATTATCTTAAGTTATTCGTGTTATAGTAACCACTTTTTGTGCTAACTTTATTGCTATATTTGTCACATACCTCATGTCAGACTCAATAGAAACCCATAATCTGGAGGATTTGTCACCAGTGGAGATAGACACTGTTATGACTACGAAATCCCGACTTCCAGAATTTGATCGCAATTATCCTGAGTTGTGGTTTGCTCAAATAGAGCATTATTTCACGAGACACAATATCAAATCTGAAGGGATTCGCTATAGAGACTTGTGTTCTATCCTTCCTCCGTCAGTCGCCAAAGAAGTCCGTGACTTGATTTTAAGTTCACCATCACCACAACCATACACCATCTTAAGACGAGAGATAATGAACCGTTTCTCATTATCAGATAGTCAAAGAATCCAAAGACTTTTTCAAGGTGAAACACTAGGTGATCGGTCGCCGTCACAGTTTTTACGTCACCTCCAAGTCTTAGTGGGTGATAACACAGTGGGTGAAGCATTCCTAAAACAAGGATGGATACAAGCTCTCCCATGCTACGTCCAACACTGTTTGGATGCACAAGATCCTGAAACCTCATTATCTCATTTAGCGCGTATAGCCGACAGAATAATGGAAAGAGGTCCTCCAACTGGATCAGGCACAATAAATCACAAACAAAAAGAAGAACCAGCAAAAGACCCAGTCATAGAAGGACTCATTGCGAGTGCTAAAAGTCGCACTGAGGCTGTCACCAGAATGCAAATGGGTCATAGAAACAGGAGCAGGTCACCACAACGACCAC